TTCAGGTATGACAAGGATGCCTGGACCACCTTATTCTCCCCTCAGGGCTCCCGGGACAAAAAGTTTCGTCTGGGTCTTGCTCAAGAAATGCTTGATTGGGTTCGGCAACCGCTTCACCTTCGCCTTCAGTAGCCATTGGCTTTGTCTGGCGTGATCCAGACTCACATTTGTTACCGTACTGCGCCCAGCGGGGCTACCTTTCTTTTCACCACGGACACCTGTTACTCTCAGGATCTGGATTTGGTTGGGAATCAGATTCAGCCGACAGTTCCTCTTTTCTTTGGATTCGATCGCCACGCCTTGGATTGTTGGGCTCGGAAGCGTTTTGATAAGATGGAGCCGAAGCCCGTGCTTACCACGAATGAGAAGAAAGCCAAGCTGCAGAAGAAGCTCGAGCAGAAAAAGGAGGACCAAGCGAGGACGGTCGAGATCAGGAATCAGGGCCTCAAGGCCAAAGCATCGTCAGGTGCTGACTCTCGCGAGTCCAGGGTGCTCCCTACCCCGCCTCCAGCACCTGTGCACAGGGGTGACTCCTTGTCTCGGAGCCGATCACCGATTGCCAGGAAGATGCAGTTCTCAGGTGGGTCCAAGAAACAATTGCAGGGCGGTGCGTCGGTTTCCAAGCCAGATCCGGACGAGGCCTTGCCAGAGACACAGGACTACCGAGAGGAAGCGCCTGTCAGGCACCCCCCCCGTCTTCGGGGGGCTCAGACACCAGGAGCTCTACCTCAGGATCTGAAGCGGAGGTCGACTCGCCTGACAGGAGGTCGCAACCAGCTCCCAAAAGCTGGGAACAGGACAAGAAGCCCTGGATCAGCAAGTTGGGCCCACCTGTGTTCAAGTCACAGTTGGAATACGACCACTCAGGCTGCCCAATATTCGCTCCGAAGGGCGGCACAGACCACGCGAGCTCAAGGCGTTACATTATGGTTTTCGTACCTCAGCTCACGGGTTTGAATACCTTCAAGGCCAAGGTTGGAGAACATTTCCAAATCATCGCAGTTCGTGAGCTGACGCCTTTCATCATTGATAATCAAGATCCCTTGGTTTCAGACAGTATTCCAGTCTTGGGAGAGCACGGATATCTCACTACCAGGGATGTCACGAAGATTCTTTGGCACTTTGGGCTCCAAACATTTCGTTTCAAGGACATTCATTTGTTCAATGCGCGCTTTTACACCAAAGAGGCCTTTATTGGCCCAGAGGTCTGCCCAAAGAAGGAGAGGCTCCATGACAAATCGCAGATCTTTGCTGGCAGCTGCATTGTGGCCCTCCTCTTCATTAAGGATATGTTTGAAGATGTGGGAGATCTTATCACGGTGGAGTCTGGGAGTAACGGAGCCAATGTAAGGTGCCATTTGCTTTGCAAACCTCGCTTCCTGATGTGATCGAGGTCGTTCCGAAGATACGGTTCAAGTGTTTCATTCCATTGGGCCCTCAGCTCATTTCTTGGTTCAATCTGGGAATATCTGGGATTACAAGTGCTTCATTTCATTGGGCACTCAGGTCATTTCTCTGGGGCTGGGATTACATCATGTTCTCCTCAATTCGATTGTCGGGGCCAAAGTAGTGGGGTCGATTCTTGCTCTTTGCCCACAGCCTCGACGTGACAAGTTTCAACTTGGGATTGCTTTGCGCTTAGTTTGATTCTACACTTCAGTTCTAAATGGGTCTGGCCTGGGATTGTTAATCTCACTACGTTGGCCAGGACGGTGACTCTTGGTTCAATCTGGGAATATCTGGGATTACAAGTGCTTCATTTCATTGGGCCTTCAGGTCATTTCTCATGAGCTGGGATTACATCATGCTCTTCTCAATCCGATTGTCGGGGCCAAAGTAGCGGGGTCGGTTCTTGCTCTTTTCCCACAGCCTCGACGTGACAAGTTTCAACTTGGGGTTGCTTTGCGCTTAGTTTGCTTCTTTACTTCAGTTCAAAATGGGTTTGGCCTGGGATTGTTAATCTCACTACGTTGGCCAGGACGATGACTGCCGTCCGATCCCTGATAAAGTGTACCTCACACCCCTCTCTCCCCATCTCCTGGATCTCCATCTGTCGATTGTCTTGGTGTCCTGGTGCTTTTCTGTAGTCATTTTGGTTCAATCCGCCTTACCTCGTTTTGCTTCAACCTCTTCTCAAGTTATCTGGGGACACACTCTCATGCTTGCCCCTCAGAGGGTCGTCAGGCCATGGAATTCAAAATCTCTCCAGTGTTGTGTCTTCGGGGCATGGGCATCCGTCTGCTCACGTGCACTGGCAGTTGAAAGTTCCGAGATCGTTCCTGTAAATTTGGGTTCATACAATCCACAGAAATGCGTCACACTCCACATGTATGAGAAGGGGCGTGAATTCGATATACCTCTCAGGCAGCTATGGAATCTCTTTGAGGAATTCTTCTCAAGTGAGGCATGCAAGAACCTTATTGGGTCGTGGGAATCGCAGTGCGCTCTATGTCTTTTGTACAGATCAAGACGATGTCATACAAAGGCGCAGTGTTCTACGACAATCGCTGGTCGGACCCTGGGAATTTCATTTACACAGTTTGGTGGAATATATGGGGTCAAATGGCCAGGTATCTTCAAAAAAACGACAGCCTACCAGGGCCTCGTCTAAATCCATGGAGGAGCTTCGCTTAATCGCTGGTCGGGTCACCGATGTACAGAGGATGGTCCGCGATCGGTGGAAAAGGGAACCCGACACTTCTCGATGGCTTGAGCTTATTGGAGATCTGATGGAGCTTGGGCTGGGAGCGGGGTATGTTGACCCAGATCGGTTCTGGAACGTAATTCAGGGGATCTCTCCCATCATCTGCTCCATTCGTTCAATTTTGACGTTTGTCGATCAACATGGGTCCTTTGCTAGGATTGGGAAAGACCGTCGCTTTTTTCGTGGCCCATGTGCGCCCTATACTCGGAAGTTCGCCGTGGCAATGTTCCACGGAATGCATGTGCACAAATTCAATGTTACAGAATCTTCAGAGGTCTGGGTCTCTTACCTAATTGCGGCCTCAGAGAACAGGCTTCAATACTAGTGGAGCCGGGGCATTTGACGCCTCACGGAATTTGCCTTTGGGTTCTGAATCGAGACCCCATTGGGATCTCCCCCTTCCTCTGCCTACCACCTAGTGGATTGGCTGACACCAGGAGATGTCACTTGTGCGATTCTATCTGGGACCCGCTCGGTCCCTGCGATCTTAGGGATACCGTGGCTTCGCAACAATCCTTTCCTCCCCTCAGGAAGCCTCTGAGTCCTTGGGCCTCGGCGTCTGTTCACCTCCCTTAGGTTTTGGGGGGATGGGCCCCTTCTCTCCACTTGACCCCTGTCGGCTCCTGCAGTCTCGGGCTCAAGCTTTCGGTATGTTACATCACACGGTTTCGGATCCTTACGTTATCTTTCAGGGGAATCTTTGCAGGTCTAACCGCAAAGTCTGCTTCCTATCTAACCGGGATCTTGAGGCACTTTCATACTGCTCCCCGCTACTATTCCGAAGGGTGGTCAAGTTGCCGGCTCGGCTTCTTATACCGACGGGCCTTGGTGGTCCTCATTTCACATATGACTGGTGCAAAATCCCATGCTTCAAAGCTTGCCGGGACAGCGGCTATCATGGTCTGTATGTCAACGTTCGGGGTCCCGATGAGAGGGTTCGCAGAGTTCCTTGGACAGAATTTGTTGCGGGTCAGTAGCCGTTTTGCCTCAAATCCTGTCTGGAGCTCCTGTCTGGTACGGCTGGGAAACTTTCAACTCCAGTGGATGGCTAAACGCTGCCTTCCAGTCATGCTTGCTGCCAAGAAGCGTCTCAAGTGGTCCCATGGCTCGGGCGGAATGTGGAACTACTGCGAAGTAGACGAAGTCTACACGAAAGTGTGGAAAACGGAGTACTTTGACACGTGGATCGATCCCGATTCGGGCTGGCCTCACCCGGTTGTGTGGTACTTGTCCGATTACTGGTGGGATGGAGATTTCTTCGTGGAGAAGTGGCGGTGGAGGTATGGCTGAAGAGCACTCCTGGGACTTCCTTAGACTGGAATCTTCTGGTGTCCGTGGTGCGTGGGCCTGCGGCTTCTTGGAGGGCTCTCAGTCTTTCTCAGTCTTTCTTGCATGTATTTCTTATGTCCTGGGGATAGGGTCCTCAGACATTTCAGTTCAAACGTCGGCGGCTCGCCTACGATGGTGGTTTGCAAATACAAAAGGTTATAAACAATTCCAGCCACCTTGCGTTCTCCATATTAGTTTGAATTCATCCATATTACATATTCCTCGACAGGTCTGGCGTGGGTTCTCATGGTTGGGATCTCATTCAGCTTTGACCGTTCATCTTGCGTGCCTCCGTATCTTCTGGTTTCATTGCGTGCTTGGGTCGTTCAGTTTATCATTCAGATTCTCTTTTAGTCATATATATCAGCCTTGATCACTACTCATGTTAAATGGGTTTCATGGGACTTAATGAAAGTTTTCTTCACCTCTTACTTTAGACCTTGGGACCATGTGCTTTCAAAGTTGGGACCCAATTGTCACTCAAGATCTTGTTAGTCAAATTTGGGCATCCCTTTTCTTCTGTTTCTCTATCTTCATTCAACACAAGAGGAACCTAGTGGTGGGATTTATTTGGGATCTTGGACAGTCTTTCATTTATGTTTTCTTTCAGTATCCTGGGTTTCAATCCTGGGTTGGGCTTTACTTATTCTCCGCTTCTATTCTTTCCTGCTTCTTCGCCTTCTTTCTCTCTCTACCTTACGCATTTGGCGTATTGGTGGCTTCTCAGGTTTGTGTTATGGGAGGACCGACCTTTCAAGGCGCTTCATCATCATCATCATCATCATCATCACCCGCCCCTCTCCTCCGCCTCCCTCCAAATCCGCTGCAACACATCCCACCCTCGCCCCTATCCCTCCATCGCCATCTCCATCTCCACTGCGTCTGCGCGCGTAGCCCATTTGGCTGGAGGCGCGCCGTGCTGCCGCGCGACGCGAAGCGATCGCAGCGCCGTCACTCTTCTTCAGCGATGGCCGACGAATCTGTAGTGCTGTCGACGCCGCAGGTGCAGTGCGCCGAGTGCGACCAGCAGCGCCCCGCGTCTGTCTGCACGCCGAAGCAGCGCTCGCGCGCCACAGGTGAGCCAATTTCGTGGATCTGCGGCCCGTGCAATTCCCTGAAGAAGAGGATATCCACCTTGAGAAGCTCCGATCCGACTCGCTTCGAGGGGTGGTCCGAGCTGTCTGCCGAGGCCCGCTCGGAGCTCATGAAGAATGCTGGCGCGCTCTACGGCCCAGCCCTCGCTGCGAAGATCAGCGAATACACGGTGAAGACGAAAGTTCAGGAGAACATCGATACCAACAAGGCTTCTGGAGATTACGTGCTGGTCACTGAGGTCGGCGAATTGGATCGCTTCAAGAAAGACAAGTCCGCGCTGGCTCTCTTGCTGGCGCGGGCTCCCAGAATGACATGTGACTACACGGGCCAAGAGTTCGTTTGGGTGCCGACCTACTCCCACAGCTCGGAGGCCGTCAACAAGGACAGGCACGAGCAGGGGCGGGACATCATCGCCGAGGGTCGGATCAAGAAGGCGCCTGCCGCTAAGAAAGAGCCCAGGGAGCCTAGGGAACCCAAGGTCAAGGGGCTGCCAGCTGGCCTCGTCAAGAAGTTCGACAAGTTCATGGACACTGCGACCGAGCGGGTCACAGGAATGGCTGCGTCCCTTGTCACCGCATCGAGCGAGGAGGGTAAGGAGTACGTCAGCACGGCCCTCATGAAGAGGGCCAACGCCGCCCAGGCCAAGTTGAGCTCGTTCATTGAGGTCATGCCTGGGCTCTTCGAGGACGGGAGCGGCGCCTCCAGGGAGCTGGTCGTCGAGAAGCTCCAGGAGGCGCAGCACGCCCTCGACGACCACTTCGACGCGAAGACGAAGCTCGAGGGTGCGCTGCTTGGCTTCCTCAATCGGTACCGCCACGATATTAGGATTCTGCGCTCGTTCGGCGGTGCTTGTCGTTGCCTCGTTTGAGTCGGTCGATCGTCATCGCCCTTTCCACGGATCGTCTCTCGCTCTGCCCGAGGTCTCATCGAGGACATGCCGACAGTCGAGGGGGCGGCAGGCAGTACCGAGGATGCAGAGGAGGAGGAGGGCGACGCGGGCGCGGCAGTGCCGACGGCGGCGTGGCAGCTGCCGACGGCGGCGCTGCAGCTGCCGACGGCGGCGCGGCAGCTGCCGACGGCGGCGCGGCAGCTGCCGACGGCGGCGCGGACCCTTCGCAGGTAGTCGTGAAGGAGCCCTGGGTCAAAGATATGAGGTTTATAAGCAGACGCGCCAGGATTTTCGAGTTTTCGTTTTTTGTTTTGTTTTTTTGTTCCTGATTTCCCTGGGGCCCGAATGAACGCAGGGGAGAGGGATGGTAGGGATGGTGGCGGGGTGATGGCGATGGGGGAAACAGAGAGTAGCTCTCAGGAGAGCATATGAGGAGCAGTAAGCCGCCCTATTATCGCCCTTGGGTGACACTGACGAAGCGTTACACTTCTCGGCACACCCCCGCTCGCATTCGAGGATGGCTCGTTTCGGTGCTTGCCCCACCCACCCCATCCCCGATTCCTTCCAGGTCGAGGGCGCTCCCGCGGGTTCTCGCAGGCGCGCGGCCAAAGCATCCATGAAGCGTCCAGCGGCTGCGCCGCAGGATGCCGCGAAGCACGGCAGGACCGAATAGATCGCAGGCGCGACAACTGTTCGTGGTTGTAGCTAGATGCAATCAAAATGATTGTCTGCATAGGCGAACTGCGAGCAATGGAGGCTCTGCCCCGCGCTCGCGCTGCCAGTGATGCATTCGACTATATGTCAGCCTGGAGGCTTCGCCCCGCCATCGCACTTGCAGCAAACTCATCATCATCATCATCATCATCATCATCATCAGCAACATCATCATCATCATCATCATCATCAGCATCATCATCAGCATCGTCATCATCATCATCATCGTCATCATCATCAGCATCATCATCAGCATCATCATCACCGTCATCATCATCACCATCACCATTTCCATCGCCGACATCACCGCTATGCCCACCAGAATCGTCATGATCGCCAGCGCCGTCGCCATTGCAATCAGCGTCGTCAGCACCGTGATCGTCGCCATCATTGCCACCATCGCCGTGGTTAGCATGGTGATCACCCCGCCTTAGCTGGCATATCGTATGGGTTACATCCTGAACGCCATCAGATTTGAGCTGAAAGGCTTAGGGTATCCGCAGGGTATCCGCAGGTATCCGCCAGGGAGCACTCGAGCTCATCTTGGGTAACGTTCATAAGAGGTTTCAAGAGTATCCGCAGGGTATCCGCAGGGTTCCGACCGAAGGTATCCGCAGGGTATCCGCAGGGTATCCGCAGGTATCCGCCAGGGCTCCCTCCGAGGTGTCATCCAGGGTATCGGTTTCGCAAGTTCCCTTGGGGTCCCGAAGATGGTTCCAATGTCATCCACATCGGGGAGCCGATCGGCCCGCTCTTAAAACCCCATTCGCCACGACCCCGAACCGCTGCCCTCGCCAGTCCCGTCTTCGTCTCGTAACCTTGTCGAGAAGGGGGGGGCGTCGAGATGGGGGGGCGGGCGCAGACACTCGCGAGGACATCGCAGTGGAATAGAAAGATGATGGCTAGGAGGGCAGCGGCGAGATGGAGAGGAAGTAGGGGCGGCGAACGACTGCATCCGCCAAGTCTCTGTTGGTCTTTGGACACGTCAGGCGGAGGAGGAAGGAGGGGGGGAGGGGGGAGGGGGGAGAGGAGGCGGAGGAGGTGAAGGGGGAGGAGGGGGAGGAAAAGGATGGGGTGGTGGAGGAGGAGAAGGAGAAGGAGGAGGAGGAGGAGGACATCAGCACCACAAAATTAAGGTTAGATTTGTCGTGCTGCTGGGGAGGGGGAAGGGGGGGGAGGGGGAGGAGGAGGAGGAGGAGGACATCAGCACCACAAAATAAGGTTAGATTTGTCGTGCTGCTGGGGGGGGGGAGGGGGGGGGAGGAGGAGGAGAAGGGGCAGGGGCGAGAGGACAGGAAACTGAAGGAGGGCATTGCTAGCTCCCGTCCTGCAAAAAGTTCCGGCTTGCCGGAACGCCAGGCCGACGACGGGTTCAGCTTCCAGTGACATGGGCCACGTGGACGACTGGCAGATCCTTGCCTGCCCGCGCCCCCTTGCTGTTCCTCTGTCGTAAAATTGTTGCGCTCTTGCTGCTGCTCCTCCTCCTTCTGTTTTGTTAGATTTCTCTTCGCTTTCTGGCCCTCTTGGAGCCCTCTTGGAGCGCTCTTGGGGCCCTCCTGGGGCCTTGCGGGAGCCGTTTCAGGGCCCTGAGAGAGCCCCAAGAGGGCATAGAATTTAACAGATATTTAACAGAAACCACGTCGTTGTTGGAGAGCGCGTTCTGTTAATTTTTTGTTAAGCTTCGGGCCCTCTTGGAGCCCTCTCGGGGCCCTCCTGAAGTCCTTCTGGAGGGCTGCGGGAGCTGTTTCAGTGCTATCAGAGACGCCCGAGTGAGCCCAGAATTTAACAGAAATTTGACAGAAACCAGTTCGTTGTTGGAGAGTGCGTTCTGTTGAATTTCTGCTCAATTTCTTGCCCTCTTGGAGCCCTCTTGGAGCGCTCTTGGGGCCCTCCTGGGACCTTGCGGGGGCCGTCTCAGGGCCCTGAGAGGCCCCCAAGAGGGCATATAATTTAACAGATATTTAACAGAAACCACGTCGTTGTTGGAGAGCGCGTTCTGTTAAATTTCTGTTAAATTTAGGACCCTCTTGGAGCCCTCTTGGAGCGCTCTTGGTTCTCTCCTGGTGCCCTTGATGGCCCCGGGGATGCTCCAAAAGACACCAAGACCGCCCCAAGACGACTCCGATTGGCCACGTAGCCTCCCAAGGAGGCCCCCCAGGCGGCCCAAATGGGCCCCAAACCTAAGGAAAATCAATGTGTGTTGCTTTCTCGCCTTTTCGCTTCAGATGGCCATTCGAGGCCTCAAGATGGTTCCAAGAGGGCCCCAAGAGGGGCTCAAGATGGCACCAAGACGGCCCTAAGAGCGCCCAAGAGCGCTCCAAGAGCGTCCCAAGAAGAGTCCAAGATGCGATTTTAGAGGCTCCCGAGGGGGTGCGCTAATTGGGTGACCCCCTTCCTTTGATCGATCACCTCCAAGATGGCCCCAAGAGCGCTCCCAAGGCTCCCAAGAGCGCCCCAAGAGGGCCTCAAGATGCGCCCAGGATACCCAAGAGGCCCCCGAGAGGCCCTCAAGAGGCTCCCTAGACCCCCAAGAGGCCTCAAGAGGATCCCCGAGACATCCAATAATCCCCCAGGCGCTCCAAGAGGACTCCAAAACAACTGGCAAGGGACATCCTAGGAGGCTCTTGTGCACGTCATTGTTCCTGTTCCTTCTCATCTTTCTCCTCGTCCTCCTCCTCCTCCTCATCCTCCGCCTCATCCTCCTCCTCCTCCTTGTCGGCCTACTCCTCATCCTTCTCCTCCACTATATCAGCCTCCCCCTCCTCCTCCTCCCTCTCCTTTCCTCTTCTCTTCCTCCCCTCCTCCTGCTCCTCCTCCTCCCCCTCCTCCTCATCATCCTCATATTTCCCCTCCTCCCTCCTCCCTCCTCCCACTTTTCCCACCTGCTGCCCCTCCTCCCCCTCCTCCTCCTCATCCTCCTCCGACTCCTCCTCCACCCTCGCCCTCTTGGGCAAGACGGGCCCCCAAACCCTTTGCTACTCTGCATGCCCCCTCGCTTCCCTGATCACCGCAAGTCGCCTGGACATAGTTTTTGGATGGGCTGGTGGGGATACGCGAAGCGTTAAGAATTTGATTTCAGGCCAAGGGGGGGGGGGCGAACTCCCCACCACGGCGTGAATGCAATTTCGCGGCCCCTGCGGTTTAAGGAGTTTCGGGGAGCTGAGAGACATCTTGGTCGCGCCCATCTTGAGAGACGCCCTGGTCGCGCCTTGGAGCCATCTTGGGTATATGCTGGCCGCAGTCGGGTCTCCTGGGGCGCTCGCGGTGCCGCGTAGGACTACCCGCGCGTGAACACATTGGGTTCAAAACAGCAAGCGCCCAGCGGCGCTCAGTCTTCGGCGGGGCCCCCAATGGGGCCGAGGTCATCGCGAGGGGTTCGCCGATGTGAGGTGGGGAGGGGGGAGGGGGGTGGTCGCGAGGCCCCCTTCATGCGGTTCTGTATGTGCTTTCGGCAGAGTTCCTCCGAGGGGCAGCGATCCTGGCGAGGAGTGCGCCGAACTGAGGCGGGTGGCAGGGCGAGCGAAGCGCGCGGGTGGGTAAGGCAGGATGGGGGTGACGGGGGCGGGTGGAGTGACTGCGGTGGGAGGACGGGGTGGCGGGGTTGGTTGGTGGTGGTGGTGGTGGGTGGGGGGGGGGGGGGGGGGGGGGGGGGGGGGGAAGGTTGACGGGCGGTGCAGGATGGCGGGGCGGGGGAGGAGATGAGGGGAGGGAGGGGGAGGCGCGAAGCCGATGGAGAAGGGGGAGGGATGCAATATGATGCGGAATCAATGCCTGTTTTTTATTGCCTTTCTCTTTGTTTTTCTTTTTTTTTGTTACTCTTTATTTTTTTTTGCACGATTTCGGATAACTAATACAGAAGAGAGAGGGAGATCGGGAGAGCGAGAGAGAGGAGAGAGAGAGAGAGAGAGGAGAGAGAGAGAGAGAGGGAGATCGGGAGAGCGAGAGAGAGAGAGAGAGAGAGAGAGAGCGAGAGAGAGAGAGAGAGAGCGATACGAGAAAGGCAGCATCCCCTCCCCCCAAGGATCCGAGGGCCCTCGGGAACGAGAGAACATGATAGATGCGCAGGAATGCGGGGGGGGGGGGGGGGGGGGGGGGGGGGGGGGGGGGGGCATCGCGCGAGAGAGAAGGACAGAGAGAGAGAGAGAGAGAGAGAGAGACGAGAGAGAGAGAGAGAGAGAGAGAGAGAGAGAGAGAGAGAGGGAGAGGATATAGGTCATGAAAACGAGACTGCGAGGAGGGATGAGCGCCATCTAAGCGACGCAGAGCGCTTCTTCAGACGAGGCGTTGAACGCAGGATTGTCGGACACAAGGGTAGAGGGAACCCAGCGCAGCGTTAGTGCTGATATAAGATGCACCCCCTCCCCCCCCACTCGCCCCCCGCGCCTGCGCATCCAATTCCAAGGCGCCCCCATTGGCTCTGCCCCGCGGGTGGCCCAAGACGGACCCAACGACGGCCCCGATGGGATTACAGGGTGTCTCGGACATTTCGTGGCGTTTCTTGCTGCGTACGCAGCCCATGC